GGCTCTGCTATACCCTATAGGGTATTCACTTGGGCTAGTTGGTGGTAAATTTCAGGATTAAAAGCGCTAAAAAACGAACACCAGTAAAAGAAGACATACACACACAGTAGAGCGCACTTGCAACTGCGGTTTAATCTGACCTAAACCAAAGAAACATATATGCCTTATCAATAACCATTCACGTCATGTATACACAGTGTCCAATAATCTACATATAATCTTTCTAGCTCGAGCTAACCAAGGACTGTAGATGCTATCGATGGGGCGCTAATGTACGTGTCGCCGTCGCACTTCCTTATGAAAAACGCCTCCGAAATTTCCCTAGTCATTTTGTTGTGGTTTCTAATCGGGACAACAGAAAACTTTGTGACACAATCGCATCGGTTGCAGCATACCGCTAGATTACTCGAGGGTGAAGATGTTACTGTCAGTGCGTGTTCCCTTTGTCTGTCATTTAAGCACCTTCCGGTTTGTCCTATGTAAGCCCTCCCACACGTTAAGGGGTATTCAGACGAGGGAGAAATCCCGGGGATTTCTCCCATAGAGTTATTATAATGTACGCTAGAGGTTCAAGTGGCGCTAGTGTGCTGACGCAAATTGAAGCAGACAGCAACCAGTCGAAAATTGATTTCCGGTAATGCATTTCTATGGGAAAAAGCGAGTGCATTTTCTCTCTGCGCTCGATCATAAGAACAAATATCCCGAATAATTCGTACGTACTAGGTAGCTTGGAACATTTCTCAGTCAGGCCGACGAAATAATTGGTTAGTTACGGTGTTTTTATTTCAAAATAATCGGATTAAAAACGGTGCTAAAACAGCTTCGTACGTGTATTTATGTGCACTGTCGGACACTGTTAGCGCGAACACGACGTCGGCGCTTTTCATCGAAGAACATCTGGAAATTAAGAAAGACGGCAAGAACTACGCAGTGACACCGGATCAGTAACTACACGTGCATATACGATCAAAATTAATTGAAGGCCACGTAATCTATTCCTATTTTAAATAAGTAAGTACCGTTTTATTCTTTCTGCTCTGAGCGAAGCTGCTTGTTCTACGTTCAAAATATCACTCGCACGCTCGAAATCTTTGAGAACAAGTGCCCGATAAAAGCTGCCCGGCAGAGAAAACAATACGAAGAGACAACTTTTATAGCCCACGGACTTTATTCTCTACGTTTTGAATGTATTTATCCGCTCATGCACGACGGGGTCAATTTTATATAGTGACAGGACTGGCATATTATCAATATATAAGCGTCACCGGATTGCTGGCGAGCCTTGAACACACTCTACATTCCTTTCGATTGTAATTTTGCTTCGAATCGTCGCTTGTTTTTACACACCTGCTGCGGAACACACGTTTGGAACTGAAATAGAGCGAAGTTAAACATCGTTCACTGATGAAGAAAAATGCGCTAACTAAAGCAATTACACTTTCACAGTGTCAATCAAGGTACATGCTATTCGGTACGACCCAAATAACCAAAGTGTTCCACGTTATTTTCCGGCGAAGAGGAAAAATGCATGCGCGTTTTCCCATAGGAATGCACAGGAGCACCGCAAAAGTAGACTGGTTGCTGTCTGCTTCAATTTGCGTCACGGAAGTCGCATAGACACTAGCGCCAGTTGAACCTCTAGCGTACATTATAATAACTCTATGATTTCTCCACGGCACGCGCATCCCGCGACGAAAACGTCAGGCTTTGCGATGTGCATAAGCCTCGCGTTTTCGTCTTGTGATGAGCGCGCGCAGGGGAAAAATCTCCGGGATTTCTCCCCGTGTGAATACCCTTTTAAAAGTAATCTATCTATACGCCACCCCTTCCTTGCACTCTACATATTTACTTCCATGCTCTTTATTACGTAAGCCCACCCTTAAATGTCCTTTTTCTATTTTTACACGTTTGCACTATAAAAATTAAAACATAACCGCGAGGATAGCACGTGCACTATCCATACAAAGGCAACGCCAGAAGTATTTTTTTTTTTTTTTGGGGGGGGGGGGGGGGGTGCGGCATGATTACTGAATTCGGGAGGAAGGGGGGAGGGTAATTTGTTTTAGCTTTTTGTGTTTACCTTCATAACAAGCTGTCGCAATGGACGGAACGCTTTCTGCTGACGAGCAGAAATCTCGCCTAAAGTATACTTCGCGCAATTGAGGGTGTCTTAGCGCTGAATATGGGCATCATTCCCTCGAAATTTAGGTCGAAAATTTTTTATTGGGTATCCTTTAATGCACATTCTTTCTCTTGTGTACTAAAATGTCCTTCATTTGTTTGTTCTGTAATGAATCCCATCGAGCATAATAGGGCCCTCAATACTTTCCCGTTTGAGCAGCCCTGCATCCGGTGTCGCCGCGAGGCAGTGTAATCCGCGAGCGCCATCAGCGACGTGCCTCTGCTGAAGGTCAAGCGGTTATGGCCGGTACCCAACAGAGGGAGACGCGCTGGGTTTTCTGGGATTCCTCACAAAATATTAATAATAATAATAATAATTTTTATTTGCACAGTTCAGTTTCTCCCACTCGGCAGCGTGCGAGGCTAGACAGAAAGTTTAGAATCCTTACGCAGGTGCGCCTGCTAGCCCGCCACCGGAAAGCTTATTCCCAAGGAAGGAAGACGAGCAGTCCAGGGCCCGCGTTCACCGAAACAAGCCAAACGAAAGAAGAAAAGTACGCTGGACGGTGCGATTGAGTGGTGTGTCCCTCCTACAGCCGTTTCTTCTCAAAAATAATGTCGTGCTTCTCTCGTCTTATATTTCGTTTGCCTGCATTGCAGCGTAGTTCAGATGAAAAGTAGGGGGAATTTGTTTTAGACCGATATTTTGTTTTGTGCATCTTGTTCTGCCAGAGGTATACGTTCGAGAAATTCAGCAACATGCTAAAAATTGGTTTCTAATGCGCAAAAAAAAAAAAAAAAAAAGGTCACCGCCACAGGGACATTTTTATTGGGTGATAAGTGGGATACGGAATAAGGAGTACACGAATGCTATTACACAACACAACACAAATTAGTATTTCTATTTATTTCTAACAGATTAAAAAAAAAAAAAACGATCACCGCGTGGATTATTGCTGCACGTCCCGGGCGATCGGCAGACGTTAAATAGGGAATGGAGCATATCGTAAAGCCAGTTGCTCTTTTTCTATGTTGCGTCACTGGTTCAGACAGTAATCATGACTGCCATTAAAACAATTGCAATGTGAACCATAATGGGATCAAATATAAAAACAAACGTTATTATTATCGTTTTTTGTTAATCAGGCAAGATTACAGGAGGGCGATTCTTCGTGTAACGTCCGTCGAGCCCGATAAACAAACAGTGAAGAAGGTAACCGTGTGGCGCATTATTAACAGACTTGTACCGTACGCATTACAAGTAATCAAATTACTTGTAATCGATTACTTTTTGGAGTAATTTTATAATCAGTTGATTACTTTTATTAGGCAGTAATCACAAGAGTAATCTGATTACTTTTTGAAGTAATAAAATTACTTGTAATCGTTACAATTTGTTCACGGAAACACCCCCCCCCCCCCCCCCCCCCCCCCCCCCTGGGCCGGCACACACCTTTTTTTTTGAACTGGGAAAAATAAAATTCGCTTTTTTTTTTTTTTCGAACGGAAAAAAGAAAGATTTTTGCGGAGCTGTAGGAAACCAGGTCCATCTCATTCTATGTACAGTTTCTGTGGAATGTCCGTTTTTTTTTTTTTTTGTTGTTTTTTTTATTTTCGAGCTGGGGTTGGGAGTGGAATGCCCCAGGGAAGCCACAGTGCGTGACAATGGCCGTTCAGGGCGAAGTTTGGGGAAACATAATGTAGCTTTGTGAGTCCTTCGTTCAAACTAGCCCCCTCACGCACACACACACATAAATAAAAAAAAAAAAAAAAAATCCTGCTTAGGGTACCTACTCGCAGCCCGTAGGAGAACCACAACCGAAGAATGCCTAAAGCGGATGCCGTGGTCTTTGTGACAAGCAATGTTTCGAGTTGAGAAGTGGTCGGGGCGATCTCTTCCGCTAATGGATACTACACATGATCCGTTTCGAATTCTGGAGTTGCTCCTCTTTTGTATAACATGCGAGCTGATCCACCTGTGAATAATAAAATGAGCGACGCAAACTTTGAGCGACAACCCTTGCTCAAGCTTAACAAGATCTAGAACCCCCTCCGCTCCCCCCCCCCCCCCCCCCCCCCCCACACACACACACACTGGCGAACGCCCAAATCATTAAACGTCTTCAAACGAATTCTATGCTTCTGTCCACATTGTGAAGGTGCAACGACCCACGAAGAGGGAGCCAGTTTTTCTTCTTCAATACTTGTGCAAATGTGAAATATAGGTTGGAAGTAGTTCACTGTTACGAGCGCTAAAGACGTGCCTTCACACAATAAAGTAATCGGAAAAGTAACGATTACTTCTCTAAGTAATGTCCAATTACTTTTGCCGTCGAGTAATCAAGTAATCTAATCGAATACTTTTTAGCCAAAAGTAATAGTAATTGTAATCGATTACTTTTTTTTAGTAACGTGTACAAGACTGGGCGCATACCGCCTTTTTGAACGCGTGATGTGTTATGACTTGTAGGGGCTGAATTTATTGAGAAAAGCGACACGCTTGACTGACACTCTCGACTGACACAAAGTGGGCGCGCACAGCTGAGCAGCATGGCTCGCGAGAGTCTACGTTCTTATTTAGAGGGAGGGGGTGGGGGAGCGCGAAACTCTTTTTCTTGGAGAGAGCGCGAGCTCCAATTGCTGGCTATGTATGACTCGCGGGACCCCGAGTTCCTCTACAGTTTATCACAGGGGGCTTAGAGCCCCTTATGATAACATTGTGAGCTAACATCCACAAAAAACTCACTGGTTTTCCGCAC